TACTATACAAACCTAATGTTACTCGCATATTTTCGAGCCTGTATGTACATTTTCGGGAAAAAGGTTAAAAAGTGTATCCATCTGCTGAAAAGATATTTTCGCAGATTCACAATTTATTTAAAATAAATCTATTAGCCCAATCTCCAATTCCATGTGAATAAATCTCCCCAGTGCTTAAATAATTTTCACCACATTAAATAGCTGCACAACACCCTAATTGCCGAAAAAGCGTTGCTTGCGACACTAGTCCTTTATGGGGACCAAACTTGGCGAAAAAAAAAATAGCTAAGTTTGTTTACTGGATATACTGAGGTTTCAATAGCAATCAACAATTGAATTCTAACAACTTCAGCAACACAACGAAAGGCTTTTTTTTCCAGCCTACGCATACATGCATACATATGTACATATGCATGTACAAACGCGGCCATCGAATAAGCAATTGGAGAATTTCTCCTTTTATTCAAAGGCAAACAGTTAAGCCCAAAATACAATAACGCAGTGGCAGTGGCAGCGGCAGTTTTTCGAAATCAGCTGTTTTTTAGAAAGTGTGGTGTCCAATGAAGCGACTCACAATACAGCAGTGGCAGCTAGCAGTACTGCTCAGTTTAGCCCAAATTCTAAATTCACTGCAGCTCGGAACACTTTGACGACTGCAACTTCACGACGTAACGACAGTGACATCATTTTGTCGACAAATGTCGCCTTGAAGCCAGCTTCTTAAACATTTTGAAGACCTCAGCGACATAGCAAACAGCTGATTTTAAAGTTTGATATTTTGGTATATTTATTTCACAAATTGTGTATTTTTATTTAAGTAAATAAGAGAAACATGAACAATCAAGAATATGTGATTAATTTTGCGACAATTTAATTTTGCAGCACTACATCTACTCATTGTCGCCGGCAAAATTAGAAATAGATTTAATTTGGCGACGTCGACAATTGCAGTCCTGCAGCCAAGATGTCGTGCTGTCGTCAAAATAATTGTGTCCGTAAGAACGTGTGTATTTAAAATTTGACAGATGCTGCTTGTCGCTTGCTGTCGTCAAAGTGTTCCGAGCTTGCCACTGCCTTCATCGCAGCAAACTTCGCATGCTGAATTTGACATAAATGAAACGCAGCCAACATCTGTTGATGTCACTGAAGCCTAAAAGGCAACAACAAAAAATGTAAACAAACAAAAGGGAATGTCAAAAAAAGCAGTCACTGACAACGCCGTATTGTGTTTGCTGCGGCATTGACTGCCATATTAGCAGTAACAGCTGATTTTAAAAACTGTCACTGCCACTGCCACTGCGCTATTGTGTTTTGGCCTTTATTCAAAGGCAAATAGTTAACGAAGCATTTGCCTTATTTTCCTTCTTTCGTTGTTTCGCAAAAATTAAGTATACATATGTATATGGTTGCCATCAGCAAAGATGAAAATATAGTTATCACAAGAATGTAGGAGGTTGCCATTAGACCAGTAAATACACTGCGACAAATAATATTCTTTACAACTCTAAAAAATAATTTATGCTACCTCACTTACTCGGTTTTGCATTATCTTGATACAAGGTTTTGAATTTGTTGATACGCGGTGTTGTACTTTAAACGACGATATAAGCATTAGATACAAGAAAAACATATCATATTACAAAAAAGTCACTGCCAACAAATTATTTTCAGCTTAATTAAATGTAAAAATTTAGTAAATGAAATGCGCATTATTGTGCTTCTAACTATAAGCGGCGAGGTAACGGACGTTGAATTTTCAGCGTTGCCTAGCTTTGATGCCGACGTATTTTTGCTAGTAAATTTGTCTTCTGCATTATCAGTTCGCCACTATGCATGTACCTGTTTCAGACGATTATATGCACGCATTGATATATTCAAGCTAGGCATAACTTCCAACAAACCAGGTTCATTCATGAAGGACAATCCACAAAGACCAAAATATGTGTGAAATGGATCTGTTGTAAATTGTGGCCATTTGGAGAAACCACCGACTATGCTGTCTTGGGTCTCCATAATGTAGGCGCGATTTTCGGCGTAGTCGATTAGTTCAAAGGCACCTAAAATACGTAGCGCTGCACCAATCCAAAAGGAATAACAGGTATCCACAGTTTTGTTCGGACGTCCCTGGAAACCATTTACCTACAAAAAGGCATTGCGCATTAAAATAGAATATTAGAAAGGAAATCAACAAATACAACTCACTTGTCTAAAAATGAGCCAACGCTTTATATTTTCAATCGTTGTCTCGTCTAAGCGATGCAGTTGGCCGCTCAAATTTAACGCAGCCAAAGCGCAAAATGTAGTACCACCATGTGCTTCACCCTCCAAATACTGACTGAAGCCATTGTCATAACGCTGCATTTGTAAGTGGCTTGATTAATAATTTTTCTTTCTAACCTTTCTGCCATTTTATAAATACTTACAATACAACTTGTTATGAATTGGAACATTTTCTCCTTATCCACATCTCCCCAATAGTCTAACATATGGCAAATGGCGGCTGCACAAAACACGAAACGCATATCGTTCTCACTGCCGTCTATACAGGCGCTAAAGCTGCCATCTGGGCGTTGGACTGCAGCTACGCCTGCGATATGAGAGGCATTTCTTATTTCATTTTATCCTTTACGTATGTATGTATGTAAGTTTGCTACTCACCATCAACAATGCTTTTGCGATCCAAACGACTCAAGTCATCACCAAGTGTGGCCAATATGCCAATACCAGTGTAAGTCATTGCAAGATGACCCCACTGATAGTACCTGGCACTAGCCTGCAGTTGCTCATCATCGGAAATAATGTTGATACAACGTGATCCCTAAAAAGATATAGGAATTAAGGAAATCTTAATTTTCTCATGAGTTCGATCATATTGTTTGTCATTTCGATTTAAGAAATTTAATTTATATAATTTATATAATATATGTAGGCGGTTGAACTTAAAACTTGCAATATCGCAAAAAGTCCATAAAATAACTAATTCTTTTGATACAAAAGAAAGGTTCGAAATGGTATTGCTAAGAGTGCAATTTTTTACATTTTTAAATTACTTATTTAAATTATTTGTTATGCCGCTGCTATGATAAAAGTTACTTGCTGCTCTTATAACAGCAACGAGTTATTTGCTAATTCGGGAATCGTTAAAATGATATGATACGTTTGACTGGAGAGTACATTCATACATATCTGCCAACATATAATATTTCATTATTTAGCAAGCAGTTTGCTTAAATTTAAAGTGTTTGTTTCTTAAATTAGCCTTAATAACGCAAGATTGTCATCTCATGAAAGAATAGCGATACTTGCTTTTAAAGGGGAAAGTGAATCACAGCATGTTTTTTGTATACTGAAGTAAATACAAAAAGTCACGGAGCTGCAGAGCAAACATGTTTTAATACAGTTGAGAAGCTCGTAACAAAGATAGTGAGTGGTTGACTGTTTTATACGCGACATATGTTTATACATACATACATATAGATAACATGCTATTAGAACACACGTACATACATATGTAGTATTATGCATGTGTACATGCAAATAAAATAACATTACCTTCTAGTGGCTTATGATTAATTGCCTGCGTTATGACGCGGCTACGGAGTTAAACCCTAGCCGCTGGTATATACCTGAAAGCCACTGCAACATTTCGTTTCTCCCTCCTTCGTAATTA